CCCCAAAACCCCAAAACCCCAAAACCCCAAAACCCCACCACAATGGTCAACTTATTATAAATTATAAATGATATTTAACTATAAGAAGCAACTCGTGGTCCCTCAGATGGCAACCCCTAAAACATTATCTAAAGACCCAGTATCGCTAGGCCATGGCCAGAGTATCAATTCACAGGTGATAAACCTCAGAGATAAGACTCAGTGAGCTGAGTATGCAAGCAAAGAAGCTGGGAAATTAGGGGTCAACTCGAAACAGAGTACCAAACCCATTGATACTTATGGGACTGCAGACACAATACTTCTGAATGATGGAAGACCTGTGAAGAAGATAGGAAATAACTACTATGTCGAATTTGATAAGCCTATAATTCCCAGATTTACTTCTAATAAACCCTCCTCTATAATTCATGATTCTTGATTCTCCTCTCCTACAATGCTGCAGCTTTCTTGATCAAAAGTACCCAATAACTTAGAGTTTTCTAAGACCAAAGAGTTTTCAAGAAGAAATAAATCAAATAAAGGATGCAAAAATGGAGAATACTGCACTTGAGGTTTATCTAAGGACGAGGCTTACCTTGTCAATTATCTTCTCAAGAAGAGCAATCTTGGGTTCATGCAAGAGCTCCAGAATTTCAGATATGAACTTATTCAAAAACGGACCCCTCTGAATAAAAAGAAATATTTTCAATTTGTCTGAAAGTTCGAAGGGAACTGTAATGCTAAATTCACAAGAAGCTGGAACTTCCTCGACCATTGAAGAATGCACTATGGGATACGGCCTTATCAATGTGATCAATGTGAAAGAAGCTTCACACAGAAAGGGAACTTGAAGAGTCATAAATTGACGCATTAATATGAAATTAAACTTATCATAAGGCTTTTCAAAACTATACGAAAGTATTATCTAATTCCATCGGATTTCCTTTCTCAACAGCTTGGTCATCTCCAAGAATTGGCAAAATATTTTTATGAGCTATCTGAGGTTTCCTGTTGAATGAAATCTATTATTTCTACCTTTTACACCAAGATATGACTTTCTATATTACAGGTTTACTATTTTCTTTCAAAACTCAATACTAACGGATTTACTTGATTATGCCTGAGTGAATATCTTTGTTGCCAAAATAATGCTATAGCATGTTTCGAGCCATAGAAGAGATTCCTCAAAGATTATACAAAAATACCAAAACTTGTCATCCTCCGCACTCTATTCAATTTAGCTTTAGTTAAAGTTTAACTAAGATAATTCGAACTGAAGCAATTGAAATAATGTGAGAAAGGCAGGAAAAAGAGATTTAGCATTCCTCAAACATTAGCATTGGCTTAAATGAGCAATCAGATGTCTAATGGTAATTTTATAAACACGTAAATTCTATAACTGCGCAGAGAAAGGGGTTTTGGGGTTTTGGGGTTTTGGGGAG